TCCCTGCGTGCCATCTTGGCACTGAGAACTATGTGTATGGAAGACATTTCCTCAGGTTCCCTGTGGAATTATTTGTCTGGAACTCCCAGTGGCTCCACAGAAACATCTGGGCTGCAGTCAGACAGGAAGACCACACCAATGCCAGGATTCAGAGTGCAGGAGAAGCCACACAGGGAATGTAAGGCGTGGAAGTCTGGGTGTGCCTTCACAAGTCCCTAAACTGCAAAGCTCAGTACTGCTGCCAGGAAAAAAAGAAAAATTTAACCAAATAACTGAACTTTTACTTTTAAACTTTAGTCTCTCCTTACTTCTTCATCTTTTCCTAAGTTCTGGGTGTAAAGGATTTATATCTCTGCCAGGATTTACCCCTCCAAACGTCAACCTACAAAGGGTCTACTTTGAAAGAGGTTCTGTAGAGGCAAGCCTGGAGCCTCCTGAACAGTTCACAGTACCCAGCCTGGAGAAAGAAGCCAAGAGTTAAAGTATCCCTTACGATTTCTGCAGTTCCAATAACTGGCGGCGCCGCTCACTCTGTTCCAAGGAACTGTACTTGGACTTGTACTGGGACAGGCGGGGGTGTGGGGCAGCTGTGCTATTCAGATCTTGAGACACAGAAAATCTACTAGCCAGGGCTTGACTCAGCTCTTCCATCTTCCCTACAAAGGAAAATATAAGAAAATGGTTCATTCATTTCATATTATTTCCTGTGTAAAGGCAGTTATAACATTATAGCTACTTTGCTAAAATACCTCAATCCCAAATCACAACTTTGTTTCCATGGGAAAAACTGAAGATAAAGAGTAAATGAGTTACAGATGAACAATTACGTTATTTCCCAAAGATATTTCAACAATGATCATTTCAATAGCTCTGAGTGTATAGATATAAATATTAATCACTAAGCAAATTCACCTCGTGATTAAATCTAACTTTTGGCTCTTTGTCATCCATCACCAGGGGTCCTGTCATTAATTCCTTCTTACCAGCATGGATAACCAGTGATGTGATCAAGTATCTAATTTTTTTTTCCTGGATAGTTCTGAAAAACCATTATTCAATAACTAATGTAACTTTCTTATGCAAATTTTATCCATTTGGTTGTTTAAGTTTTTAATAACTGCCTACTCATATTAAGAAAATTTAACTCCATAAGAAATCCGGGTTCTGGTGCCTCTGGAGGAATAAAAGAGAAGCTAAAACCCAAACCTGGCAGTTACTTTGTTTGATAGTTTGTTTCCTTTGGGGTGGGCAGAAGGAAGGCTTCAGGACTATGTATGTAGGGCTCACTTGGAAAATGATAGCTAGAATATAGCTACAATGTGGAAGGCTACCAGTTAATACCAGGTACTCCAGGAAAAAGAGGGACCTGACATGCGATATATTTGGAAGACAGAGACTATCCAGGTAAGCCCCAAAGAATGGGAATGGAGAGAAGAGGTGAATTTACACTTCATTCATTCTCCTGTTAATGAAGTTTTGAGATGGCACAGGAGCTTACCCAAGAGTTAAAGTTGTGCCTAAAGACTGTAAGAAAACAGGAACATTTGAGAGAAATTTAACACACAGCTGGGCTGGCCTAACCCTTTAGTTCTAGTGTAAAACAGAGGGCACTGAAGTTCTTAAACTCCACCTGGAGCCAGGTCCCACTGCTCTGAGAACCAAAACCAACAGGTTCATTCCAGAGCCTCTATAGTTAAAAATACAACTCTATGGGCCTCTACATGGCAAGTTACTTTGCACCTTGAAGTAAGATTTTTTAAATTTGCAGCATTAGGTTTTTTAAATTGAACAGACCCCTTTCTCAAAACCTGTGGTTAAAAACTGACGTAAAATTTACCATCTTAAATATTTTTTAGTATACAGTTTAGTGTTAAGTACATCCACATTGTTGAACAATCAATTTCCAGAACTCTTTTCATCTTGCAAAACTGAACCTCTGTACCCATTAAACATGAAAGGAACTTTTTTTTTTTTTTTTTTACAATTAACAGTATGGATCGAAGCATGTCTTAACATATGTAATGCACCAGAGGATGGCCATTTGTGGTTGAGGCTAGGTGACGAGTACTTGAGATCCATAATGGTAGATTATTTTCTGTATTATTCTGTACCTTTGTCTAATTCTGAACACTTCCATAAGACTTTTTAAAAATTCATTGTCTTTGGCTTACCAATGACCAAAACTGAAATACATTTATTTATTAGGCCTTATCATGCTTTATCTCGGTGTGGGCAGCCCTGGATACTTGGGAGTGGGGGGCGGGCTCCCTGGACCTTCCCTTATGGCTGTTCTTGGCTGGCTCCTACTCTTTCAACCTATTCCTCAGTGATGCAGCCTCCAAAGGTTCTCAACCTTAGCACGAGTGTCTCATCCTGAACCCGCATCTGGCCCCTACTCCCAAATTTCCAACAGGCCCAGACCCCTGCCCTACCTCCAACCTCCTGCGCGTCCCCTGCCTCTCCCAAGCACAAACTCCTAGGCCCCAGCCCGGTATCGAAGCCTCCTCGGCGTCTCTCACCAGCTTCTATCTGCTCCAAGTGGCCATTCTCCCCGCCACGGCCCTGCACTGCCTTTCTCTAGAGATGGGAACATTTAGGCATTGCAGGATTCGCCCCTCCCAGAAAAAAGTCCCTGAGGGAACCAGGCCCGACCGCGTGGACCATAGGAGCGGAAGCACGCTCAGGGGGAGGCCCCTGCCTGGCTAGGCCCCTCTGGAGGACGTCTCGGGAGGCCGGGGATGCCGAGCCGTCCACGGGGAGTCACAGGCGGGCGCCGAAGAGCAGTTGAAACCGGTAGGGCCCAGGCTCGAACCCAGGACTCACCTGGGCTAGGTTACAATTCCATGCGCCGCCGCCGCCACCACCGGCAA